GTCATTCTAAATAAGCACACCACAAAATTAGGTCTACCAATGTTAAATTATCATGAAGTTCCGGTCAGATGACTTTTTAGCTTTTCTGTGCTGTTTATCTAGTTGGTGGAATGGCATGTCACAACCTGAACCACAGTGGGATAGAACACATAAAAAAAACATGCATAGTTTGCCTTTCACTGCTTCTGGCAGAATATAACTCCTTTTCCCCCTCATATTTCTAATTAGCAATTTCTATTCTGTGGAGTTCTATCCCACAAGGTATTGAATATATTTTTTTAAAATTGCACCAACTTTACTTATCTGAAAATAGGTCATTTGTTTCAACTACAAAACAGAGAGAATGAATGCCAGGCAGACTAAGTTTTACTTTCTACCATCTTAAACTAGGCATTTGACATGATCTCTTAACAGAAGCAGATCAGAGAAGACCATATAGGCATACCATATAGGCTTTTGGATCCACTTACCTCCATAATCAACAGCAAAAGAAGTAAATGGCACATAAGTCTGGGGTAAGAGCAGGACAGGTTTTTAATTATTTACTGTTGAATGAAAATGTTGTAACCACTTAAATTCTGGCAAAGTGTCTGCGATTCTTGAAGCCTCTGAGGTCAATCTGATTACAAAGCATTGCAAAAGCATGTCTGGTGTCAGGAGGGAGAAATCACTGGAAGAGAAAGTCATGTGGTAGTGATGAGGAATTAGAGAATGTGGCTCATGGCATCTGGGGACCACTTAGGAATCAAAGGATTATTAAGGAGGCTGTAGCATGGAAAGGCTGGGAACAGAAAAAGGTCTATAGAAGTCTCAGAACAGAACCATGACCTGTCTAGGGACGGTCAACATTAGTGATCTTTCTCAAAATGTTTTGAAATGTTGAACAAATTGGAGCATAAGTTAAAACTGTCTTTAAACATTTTCATGGCCATGCATACTTCTCTCATCAGCTAGGTCTCACTGACCTTCATCGTATCACCAAGGCTATTAGCATGTTTGCTAATGTCTTCCATATTCTGCATTACCTACATACTTATTTCTTTCAATATCAAGCATCCGTGTATTGTCATTCTGAGTTTTATTGTAACAACTTAACCACAGTGTATTAATTAAAAGAAGAGCTTCACTAACCACTATCATGAGTACACACAGTGCAGGGAATTAAAGCACTTCCTCTCCTCTGGAAAACAAGAACTGGCCAAACTCATGTTATGTAGGAGTGTGTAGCAGAAAAGAGGGTCAGGAGAGGAAATATAGGAACTGAGTCGGTGTAATTATGCTGAAGAGCCAGAAGAGTGCATACATTTACAGTGCATCTGCCACACACCAGGGTATCACTGGAATGCAGTGAGTTCTGCCCACACCCTTCTCCAAGGGAGGGTTTGGCTTAATTCCTCCATGCTACAGGGATCCCTAGCTGCTTATTTAATTCAATTTTAGGATATTACAAAGGGGCCATAGCTAAGGCTGCTAGTTTGTCATGGATTCCATGAGTTTCCAGGAACCTCTGTGATTACTTAATTGGTCAGTGTGATTGGTCCAGGCCAGTACCAACTGCTGCTGGGGAAGTGTCAGGCCACCACACTCCCTTCCTACAGCAGCAGCAGCAGTTTGGGCATGGGAGGGGGTTGGGGCATAGAGGTCTGGTTGGTGCTTGCCTTGGAGGGCTCCTGGGAAGCTGTAACAGGTCTCTTCCTTAGCTACTAAGTCCACACAATGCTGCTGTTACAGACAGTGGGCGGGGGGGGGGGGCAATTCCACCCCCCCAGAAGGGCCGGGGCCTTGAACGGAAGGGGCGTGGCCAAGTGCAGTCAGCCCTTAATGCAGCCCAGACTGTGGCACAGCCCCCTCCCCCAGGCCTCAGAGCTGCACGGAATGGTGCTGCAGTGCAATTCAAAAAGGTCAAGGGCCCTGGCTGCCATTACTGCAGTCACAGTGGTATCTAGAGCTCCGAGCCCCTTTGAATCTCCAGCCCCCAGGGCAATTACTCCTTCTGACCCCCCCAGTTGGTGGGCCTGCCCACAGACACCGTGCCCAGGGGTCCCATTGGCTGTGGTTCCTGGCCAATGAGAGCTGCAGAGCTGGAGCTTAGAGAAGGGGGACAACATGTGGAGCCAGGAGCTGAGGGAGGGACATGTCACTGCTTCTGAGGAGCCTGTCAGCCCTGCTAACTCTCACCAGTGGGGTTGCCAAGCCACCACCCACCCCTGAAAACGCGTGTGCCTTGATCACTTCTGCAAGATTTAGTCAGGGGTATATAATACAAGTCATGGACAGGTCAGGGGCCATGCATTTTTGTTTACTGCCCTGTGACCCGCCCATGATCTTTACTAAAAATACTTGTGATTGAAACATAGACTTAGCCATAGCTTAGGACAAAATTTAGCTCTAGCTGTTGCTCACTGACCAACCGTGGGTATGAATCTGATCTAACAAGTGACTTTATGGTAATTAGGAATAATTGATGCTAATGTGGGGGTCAGATCCAGACAAGCCAGGGACCCTGGGTCTGAGGATCGCCCCCCCCACCCCCGCAGTACATGATCTCATGCCTATAACATCCTATCAAAACTTCTGTGGGAATGGGAGCGTCAAGGACCAACTTACAATTCCACAGTTTACCAAAATGACTCTTTTGGATGATAGAAAAGACCCCCAATTCTCTTTTTGACAATTGTATTATTTGGATTACATCAAAGTGGTGTAAGAGGTATGGGTGTGAAAACTGAAGCTAAAAGTTGCTTATAAAAATCTGAAAGTATGGCATATTTTCTAAAATAAGTTTCTTCATAAATAGGACTGCGTTAAGGTTTCTAGTTTTAAGTGTATTTTATGCAAACTATGATCCATTCAGACAGTTTCAGTTCATCTATTCAAAAATCTAATTTCCAAAGTATTTCAGTCCAAATTTTCTTTCTTCCCTGTTAAGATTTTCAATTCGGAAGACATTCTCCCATGAACAAATATCTACTGAATTAGACAGCTTCTCAAGAATATACCTAGGGACATACTCCAATAGAAAAGTGTAAAATAGCTTAAACTTTTTTCATCAAGAGAAAAAAAACATGCAAATTATCTTAGAGGTAATTTTACCAATTAAAACCTAAGGGCTAGATTTTGGAACCATTAGGCTATGCAGCACTTAACATAAATATTGTCACATGCATAATGTTAATCACATGCAAAAATCTTTGTGTAGTCAGGGCCATTAATTTGAAAGAACCTACTCATGTGAATAAGTGCACACCCACATGATTAAGGGTTGCACAAGCTAATCCCAAAGTAGGAAACTAATTACAAAAGTAACTGTTTAATTAGCCACAACTTCGATATGCTCATGTCATGGGGTCGCATGACACGCACCCCTTGGGGGGGTAAATCTGGCCCAGTGGCCAAGTCTATAATGCCCCCTGTCTGGGAGTAATATGGCTTAACAGCTGAGTCTATAATGTCCCCCTGTCTGGAGGGAATATGGCCCAGAAGCCAAGTCTATAATGCCCCCCTATCTGGACCAAAATAGATCATCAGAGAAGCCTGCCCACAGATACTCTTTGTTTAAAAACTGATTCTGTAAGAATCGGGAACCAGGCACTTGGCACTAATAATCTGAAGAGATCTTTCAAGTTGTGTTAAAGACAATCTGTCCTTGGATTCTTAGCTCTAATGCACCTGAGCCCCAAAAGCCTGCTGAAGTTCTGTGACAAAATACATGCAACTACAATAACATTTGCTATATATGGGTTTCATCCAAAATATATTTAAGTTAATGGAAGTATTTCAATGGGGTCATAAAGGAGTAAGCACAAATAATAAGGAATTAATAAAGCCTCAGAAGAGCCCAGTTAGAACTAGAGGAGCCAATATCAATCCCAGGATCCACAAGCTTTAGAAGCAGCAGCACCTACACTCTCTGCCATCCCCCAATTCCCTCTCCTCACGGGAAGAATTTAAAGGACACTAAACAAATTGAACCATACAGAATTTTCTAAGCCATCTGTTCTCCCGCACATTTTACCAAAGATAAGATATGGTCCTTAAGTATTTATTTTTAGAGGAATAGGTAACCACTCAGAAGGCATTAGAAAACAAGGAAGGATGAGTTGGAACCAAGCTATCAAACTGAGAAATCATTAAATACATCAACATAATAATCAGAAGAGTAACATGCCAAGACAAAGGGGTCAAAATGAAGTCTGGACATTTTTTGGTAAATAACAAGACAATAATCTCCTCTAAAGTAAAGATTTTTTTTGTCTTCTTTCAGGACAGATCCCAGACTTAGGGATATAGAATAAATACTGACATCTGCAAATCCAGTAAACTGAAAAGTGTAGTGAATCCTTTAAAATTACACTTTGAAACTGAAACCTAATTTGGGATTGGTCATATTACCTCCATAGATTACAAAAAAACCCCAAACCCACACATCTAAATAGGTAATGTCAACGGGGTCTATATTGCAAATCCAATTCAGGTCAAGGATCCACCTTCAGAGTTTGGATGTGTTATTTACCATTTTGTTTAGCGGGGTCACAGAACTATTTTCCTCATGAGTAAAGTAGTGTGATTTATCACAGTCTGAAGTAGGTGGGTCAGTTTGGTACCCCCTGAAACTTAATTTTGGTTCAGTTTAGTTTTAGAAAATATAAACTAACCCAAAGCTCATCTTAGGTTTACATAATGTATACTCTAGTCTAAAAGAGCATTTCATCGTAAAGTCACTGAGCCAAATTAATCACTAGTATAACATGTAAAATTTTACTGGCTAAAACAGATTTGTGACTGCTTATGTCAGTGGTCAATTTGACCCACTGCTTTGTCAATATATACAATGGGTATTAGAGCAAAGCGGAGATTGAAAAATCTTGGTGTCTTTGTAGGCTGAGTGATATCTAAGTGCCTATGAAAAGCTGATCTATTTAATACTGGTTAACTTACTCTTTAAACTGAAAAATCTTTGTATTTACAGTCTGAAATGCAATAACTGAAGATGGGGGGAAATTGTGATAAACAATTGAGCTCTACTGCGCTGCCCCTAACTAAACCAGAACAGGAGACATTATTGTACATTTTGGTTAATTTTGGGATGGGTCACATACCACTCAGAAATTTCAATGTTCATCTCTTGTTTTTGCTTCCCAATAAAAAGGACTGAAGAAGCATAACAGAAACAAAGTCAGAGTGAAATGCAAATAAAGCTTGATGTTTTGTCTTCTGGAGAGGCAAACTTCAAAAATAAGGTACATGTTTTTGTTAATTTATAATCAACAGTCTTCACAAAAATCCAAACAGGCACCAAATACAGTGTGTCAAAGTTTAAAGACAAAAACATAACAAAATCTTTCTTGGTTTACTGTATGCAGTGACATACCTCCAGGAATAAGCAGGACTGTAGGTTGAAGGAGGAAGAAGATTTGAAGTGATTCTGCACATAAATCAGGTTCTCAGTCTACCAACACATAATTTCTGTCTCACTATTTACAGTAGATAACGTGAATGCTTTTGCTGATGAATGTTCTGGTAGACTTGAAAACATAGTTTTACTCCACTACTGCATAATACTTATAATGAAAGGGTGGATGTACCATTTCACTAACTTTTGAATACATAATTATTTAATCATTACAGTGGTAGCTCTTCTTATAGTAATTAGAGTTCGTTTGCAGTATTTTATTTCGTTTCCAATTTAGAAATGTGTCAACCTGACTGCTTTAGATGTTAAAAGAGAAGTAGATAAAACCTTTCGGGGAAAGAAATAGAATTAAAATATGTATTAGTAATTAAATATTATATTTTGTTTCCTTGTATCTAGTGTTGCCAGATGGTTTAACAAAAAAACCAAACAATGTCACCCCCCTCCCCTCCGGCCAAAAAACAAAACAAAACAAAACAAAAAAAACACCAGGAAAAAATTCTGTCAAGGAAAAAAAAAGAGGGGGGGGACCAAAGTTGTTAAGAAAAAAAGGGGGGGGGCAAAGTTGTTAAGCAAAAGTTGCACCACTCCCTCCAGTTTGGGACCACACACTAACCCCCATGTACCCACTCCCTCTCCCTACCAGGCCCCCCTAGTGCCACCTCATCTCAATGCACTCACCCCTGCCTCAGACATTTGTCACATACCATAGTATAGCTCATTTAGTGCATTAAATGCCCCAGTAACAACTGTGTGGGCACCCCCTAGTGCCACCTCATCTCAATGCACTCACCCCTGCCTCAGAGACATTTGTCACATACCATAGCATAGCTCATTTAGTGCATTAAATGCTCCAGTAACAACTGTGTGGGCGAAACCAGACAACCAGTACAATCTCAAATGATCTCACATAGAAAAGTATTAAGACAAAAACTATCAAAAATTTTCACAAAGCGATCACTCCGTAAAAGGCAAACCTGGGACTTTACACCTAGACACCAAACCACGGATGTAACAGGAACCTGGAGTTTTCAGGTGCCTAAGTGTTTCCTGGAATCACGGAAAAAACTGTCTTCCCCCTAACGTATGAAATGGCACCTCCTGGTAAGCCGAATTGCCAGAAAGCTGTGGGAGGACCCTGGGTTGTGGGAAGATGCAGCTCTTGTGTGTTAGGGTCAGAGTTAGCATGAAGTGTGCCTTGAACAACATACCAGGCACCACAAGCCACAGCAGCAGCACATAACTAAGGGTGGCAATATATCATATACCCATGCCTCTCTTATTTCTGCCCTGCTGATGGCAGAAGCGTTTCTTCAGAACTGGGCACTACTTAATTTGTGCCAGGGCTGATCTTTGGCATCTCTCTTTTAATATAAATTAAACACCGGAGGAGGCAGCGGGGCCCAGAGGTGATGGGGCAGCCCAAGGAGCAATTAGGAGCCAGATGAATTTCACATTTTAAGCTCAATGCAATGAAATAACTCAAATCTTGTTGTACCTAGTACACTTAGCCAGTGCATTGAAATTCACGAAAAGGTGATGAAAGATTAGCAAAAGCAAAACAAATTTCAAATCAACATGAAGATAAAAGAGGTGATATGCTGCAGCTGTGCCCCTGCCCCCTCCTTTGGAGCTGGAGCTGGAGCTGGGGGGAACTGGCTTTTAAGCCGGCTACCCCCAGCACGCCTTCCTCTTCCCCCACCCCTCCTTGCTGCATCTTTCTGATAGAGGCAGCAAGGGAAGTGAGGGAGTGACTAGTCGACTAGTGCGTCAACTATCCGATAAGCTTTTGCTTATCAGATAGTCGATTAGTCGCTTAAATCCCTATGCCACGTAAGGATTTTTTAATTTGAATTTCCAAAGTTCACAAACCTTAGTGAGATGAAATGACAGCGATGCACAAAATAAGCAGTATTTTTCAATGACAATTATTGTTATATTAAATCACTTACTCTTGATCCTTTTTCAGGAAAGCACTGGCAAACCAAACAATCTTGTCCTCCACATGGACCAATATATGAATATCTACCCTAAAAATTAAGAGGTTGTTAGTTTACTTGTATACAGTTCACTTGTTATCCAATATAATACACTTTAATGAAATAAAGATCATCAATGAACAGGTTAAGACTTCATGGAAAGATATAAACTATAATATAAAAGCTATTATTTAATTAGCTAATGCTAATAATTTAGTGAAGATTCTTGGGTTTTCTACAAGAATTTTTTTTTCAAAGAAAGCTGTAACTAATTCTTAAATAACTGAGAGAAGCAATGGAGCTCTCTCATTGGTCCAAATGTCTTATTAGGTGATTCTGACACCCAACCTCTTTAGATACAATTCAGCTATGCTGCTGTTATGTCAACTGTGATTTTCCAAAACACAAGAAACAAGGTTTAGGAGCAACCTTGAGAATGTGATTTTAAAATGACATGTTAAAGAAATAATATTTTTGAACTTGGGGAATACTGCTACTTTAGACTTTTCACTGGGATGACTGGGAACAATCACAACCAAGAATAGGAAAAGATAAAAGTTTTCATAGCAGAACAGAAATAGGAGAAGAAGCATGGCTAAGTGGATTATGGCATTACACTGGAAATCAAAAGCCCTGCATGGATTTTAGTCTCATATCTGCCACTGACCGGCTGTGTGACCGCCAACAAGTCACTTCACCTTTTTGTGTCTCTGTTTCCCCTCTCGCTTTGTCTATTTTCTGTATTTAAACTGTAAACTTCTTGGGTCAGGGTCCATCTCTTTGGATGAGTTGGCACAGTGCTTAGGGAAAGGGGACCCTCTTCTCAAAGCCAGTAGGCACTGCAGGAATTTAAATGAATAATCTGTAAAATGCCATAGTTTACCAAATTTCAAGGCAAGTCTTTCCCATCATTTGAAATAAGACTAATTAGAGTGAATATTTTAGTATAACTCTTGTACTGTCCAATAAATTGCTCTCTCTAATATAGTAGTGGCAAATAAAGTTTCTTGTAACATCTATTTCTCTGAAATATCTACAGCATTTACTCATGATGCTGAAATTTGTCATGCTTGATGTCTGTGTAAAAGTGCATTTTTCAGTATACCGGACCAAACATTTGACCGTAACTCAGAATGGTCATAACTTGGAACCCATTGAGTTACAAACAGCACGGTCGCAATGTAAGCGCGGATCACGTTCGTAAGTCGGAACCCGCATTTATGACCGCTTTGGTCGTAAGTGCAGATGGTCGTAAGTCGAGGTGGCTGTAAGTTGGGGACCAACTGTAGTACATTCCAAAGGAGGAATGCGGAACTCCACGTGCAGCCCTGGACCAGCAGAAAGTCCCACCGACTCCAGGCTGCATGCGGTGTGCCAGCTTTGAAATGTACAAGAGTCCCCAGCGGAGGCTCTTGTGCATTTCAAATCTGCAGCGCAGCATTGAGCCCAGGGTCAGTGGAGGACTCTCCTGCTGATCCCGGGCTCCCAATGGCATTTTAGTGGAACCAGGAATCAGCTGGGGACTCCCCAGCTGACTTCAGGTTCTGCACGGCTTTTCCCCAGAATGCCGTCTCACCCCAGGCTCCACAGCGCCACTTTGAAACATCACCTCGGCATTTGAAAGGGGCAGCGCCACACAGCTGAGCCACTGGGGATCAGCTGTGTGGCACTGGCCTTTGAATGCCACCTCTGCATTTGAAAGGGGCAGCCCCTTTGAAGCACCCTCTTCTCCTCCCCTCCCCACCGTTTACTGTCTCTTTGATGGAGGCAGCAAGGAGGGGGGGGCCGACTAGTACTTAACATCTTAAACTTGAACTAAAGGAATTACTCTTCTAGCTAGTAAATGTAATAAGCTTTTAACCTTTTCCACGAATCAAGCTCTACAAAGGGAAAGGGATATATACTGTGCTCCAGTAGGTTACACATATAGTCTATATTTGACAGGAAAAGAAAAGTGAGAGGAAGGACAAGTGTAGGAAGATGGTCCCGTGGCTTGATGGTTTGGGTCCTGTTCTTAGGTCCTCTGTCTGAAGAGGTTACATATCCTCCCCCGTTCATGGCTTCACAGCAAAAGAGATTTTGTTGATATTTAAATGAGGTGAAGTACATGACAGAAAAATTCAGATAGGGCATTCCAAACGTAAGGGCAATATGGAAGATAACATGGGGTGGACATTTGGGTGAGAAATAGATGAAGCAGATACCAAGGCTGGCATCTGTGGAAGTATGGAGGGAGAGGTAGGAATGTTAAAGGAGTCCAGTTCTAAGATGTGGGCAAGAGCCATATGACCTAGTCCTCTGAAAGCTGGTATTCTGAGTTTGATGCACAGACCCATGGGGACCACTGAAGTCATTAGAAAAGACAGCTGACATGCTCAATGTGAAAGGTAAGAAGGATGATTTGGTAACAAGGTTTGGATGGATGAGGCATGGGAGGGGCCTCAAGGTTAGCGTCAACAAAACTGGTGAGCAGAAGATTGCAAGAGTTATGACATGGTCAAGCAACTTGGCAATAGGGAGGAAAGAAAGGGAGGAATTTAGAAATGTTATAGAGGGACAAGTAATAGGATTAGGCTACAGCTTGGATGTGGGGAGAGGCACTGTACCTATAAACAGCTATATTTCTTTTAGCAAGAAATTCTACTTGGTTGGATCCTGTAACATTGACTTTCTATAAAATTAGCTTCCAAGTCACTTACCCCATGAATCTGTTGCACTGAAAGAACTGTTATTAGCCACCTGGTAGAAAAAGAAAGAAAGCTAAATTAATTTAAAACTACAAATGGTCTGGTAGCACTTTATAGATTAACAAAACATGTAGATGGTATCATGAGCTTTCGTGGGCACA